CCCCCCCCCCCCCCCCCGGGCTGGGGTGGCCGCGTAGTAATGCAAACGGCGGTAATCAAAACAAGTCTATTTTGAATGTTTTGAGACCATTGGTTTTTGATTTGCTGACTAATTTATTATCCACCCCTCCCCCTAACAGGAGGCAATGGTCCATGATTACCAGGATAGTTACGTAGGCAATGCTGCACAGAACATGCGTGGTGTCTTGACTCTCAACTACCCCATGGAACACGGTATTGTTACCAACTGGGACGATATGGAGCTGGTAAGTACGGGAAATCACATTTAAGAACTAAGTTAGCATGTTGGGTGTTGGAAGGAAAATGGCATGAGATCGAGAAAAGTCATAAAAACGAAGACAAAGGCGAAATTCGGACAAACAAACTTACAAGTTTACTTTCAGCAGATAGTTTTCACAGCCGATCGCAGTTGATCTTAGTTTACATTGGTTATTATTGTAACTTTAAGTAAAAATAATAAAAACGGTTCGTATAATCCTCGTAGCGGTTAAACAGAATGCAATGTTTGTCTGAATCTTTAAGCTATTTTTAGAATCAGTGCTCTGCGCTATTTAAAGTGGCATTTATCGCACTTCCCGCAGGATCAGAATTTCCGCCATGTCAATCATAAAATAATTAGTATACTCTGTAGATAATTAACTCCAAAACGCTATCTGAGAATCCGGATGTTTGAGTTTTCAATGCTTGTGATTATAAAATATAGATTATTTTTTGCAAGACCTGAAGAAAAAAAGCATGAAAAATCTAACACTGTTTTAGATCGCGTGGTGATTATCATTCATCCAAAGCTTCAGTTCGATCCGATGTATTAATCCGAATGAGTTAGAATACTTTCTTATAGTATTCTTATTTCTTAATGGTGGGAGGAAATCTTAAAACGGGCCAAATTCAAAAAATAACCATGATCGGGTAAAATTTCGAGGCTTTATTTCACGTTTCAATGATTTTATTGAAATTTTTGATGAATCCCCATACATTTCCTTATAACATGACACCACAGAAACCAAGCTTGGGCTACCTGTGAACACATTAATGTCAAAACGGATTTTTAATCGTTGTATCATTGGTGAATAAGAAGAAACTTGAATACCGTGTAAAAAAAAAAACTTTTGTAGGTATACTGATGTTCCGGACCTTAGTCCTTTGTCTTTCAGTGCTTTTTTTTATTCCGAGGAAGGCTAACGCCCGAAACGTCAGTACAGTTAGGAACCTTTTTAATTAAGTTTCATTATTCGCTGCAGGTTGTTGTAGAGTGAAGCAAGAGAATATATTTAGTACTTCATACTCTCTTGAGTGAATGCATTTAACCCCTGAAATATAAGATGAAATAGTCACGGTTTAGCGACTTCACTCTATTCAACATACCAACGCAGTCCCTATAGGTTGCTATCAATAGACGTCATTTCCGGTAATAGCTCTTTTTTGATGGCTTATAGAATCCTGGAGGTTGTTTTGATCTCTTGTTTTCTGGTTTGATGTCGTGAAAATAGTCAAATACAATAGTTTGAGGACTTAATTTGATATGTTTTGATTTAGCATCCGCTAGTTGCCCCCCAGTCAACCGCTTGTTTGCCCCCCAGTCAACTCCAAAAAGTCACGTGATTTCACGATAGTAAGCAATTACAGTGATTTCATACAAATCCCGAAAGAAAAATGACTATTTAKTTATACTAGCTGATAAAAATAAATAAAAAAAAAGAAATCTTACTATTTTGTACTATTTTTTCACGGGTTGAATAAGATCACTCTAATAACCGCTAAAAACAATACTCAAGATTCATCCGGATATTACGATATTGGCGTCAAACATGAATCACTTATTCACTTCCGTTCACGGTTGATTGTGCACTGACTTTATTTGTATAAACAGCTGTCATTATTTTTGGTCGAGTGAACTAAAACATACGATAACATAAAAAGAACCTAGGACAACCGTAATCTTGTCTCTCAACCCGCTGGAAGTGAAATCTCTTGGACGGAAACTTGGTGTGTAGGAAACCATGTTCACAACCTTAGAGCCTCTCAGAGGGTACAGGAAGAGACGAGACCCTATGAATGACATTATATTTGTTCATATTGTTTTTAGACAACAGGGCTTAGGTTAGTTCTTAACCAATGTCTCCCACGTTGAATCTTTTCCTAAATAAAGATATTGTAGGCATAGTAAAATGTAATTTGCACATCATTAGTCTCGAACTGTATTCAACGAGACGTGACGTTTGTATAAGAACATTAACACAGTCAGTGTTGTACGTCAAATCAAAGTCTTCTAACACGGAAAGACACAGTGGTTAATTCAGTCTTCAAGTACATAGCTGAATATTTTTATCTTGTCTAACTATCATGAAAGCCAAGCGAGTTTTTCTGTGGTCTGCCCCAAGATGTGTATCAACTGCTTTTGAACGTTCCATGAGAACGCTTCGTGACGTCCAGGTCTTTCATGAAACGTTTGCGATACCATTTCACCATGGCCCAGAAAGAGACAGCGATCTTTTCACAGACATTCCTCTTGATCCAAGCGCCACATACCAGTCAGTAGCCGACACCCTCAAACAAGAATACCAAGGGAAACAACTGGTTTTTGCTAAAGAAATGGCCTGTTGTCTAAAAAAACACTACGACATTCTTCTTGAAGATGGAATGAGAGAATTTCAACAGACGTTTCTCATCCGAAATCCTCACGACGTAGCTAGGTCCCTTATTAACTGTGGCTATTTTGTGGCGAAAGAGTTTGGTTTCAAAGAACTTTACGAACTTTATCAATTCGTAGTGGATAACCTTCAGCCCTCTCCCGTCATACTCGACGCTGGTGAGCTCCTGGAGTACCCGGATGAGACGATGCGTGCTTACTGCGGAGCTATTGGGATAAAATACGAGGTTGGTATGACAACGTGGCAGCCAGGTCCCGTGCCGGGRTGGGACCGAGAAGTTTGTGCTGGCTGGCATGATTCGGTAATGAATTCAAGTGGCTTCGTTAAGAGAAGTCGTAAGACTGAAGCTCATAAAAAGGACGATCTTCCTGAGGAAGCCATCAGAGTCGTGGAGGAGTGTATGCCATGCTACGAAGCCATGTATGCCAAGAGAATAGTACCAAAGACTAGCAACTAGTTTTCGTATGTTCATTGTGACGTCAATCCTATTTGAAATCGAAAAATGTTCTATAAGATATTGAAATGAATTGTTTCATGTAGAGTATAAATCATCAGAAACATTTCCCGCCCTATTTTAGTGTTGTGTTGTTGTGTTGTGTTGTGTTGTGTTGTGT